CGTTTTTTGATCACATTTCGAGTGAGTTGTACAGATTTAAATCTCTATTTACTTCCACAATACAGTATTCAATATTCTTGCTTCACGTTTACCACCCGGCGATTCAGTATTGGGACGACATGGTTAATTCAGACTTCGCCTCGACGTTCTCCTTGTGCCTGCAACCAAGCGAATTCCACCAGCTTCCTGACGAATTGGGAACCAGTGGTTTGTTTGGACACGTGTGTTGAACGTTTGTCGAGCACGGGTGCCCATAGCACAGATGTTGTACATGTTAGTGAGCATCATCATGTTCGGGACCGTGATCCTCCAGCGCCTCAGAGTCTTGTCGAGTGGGAGTTGCAAGGTTTTAATTGAATTTTGACATCTGTTAAAGTCGCCGCTTAAAGTTGACCAGTATAACATGACCAAAATTGTATGAATGCTCTAACGGAGATATCCGTTGTCAAAATGAGATAGCGTGTCAAGAAGTTAATGCTCCACATAGCCCTAACCTAAACTTTGAACAGAACACGCGTGAACAGAGCATGCTGTACTCGGCCACTGATGATACTACTTTGTTCACGTTCGCGGGTGATGCGGGGACGTTCCTTATTTCTGCATGTCACCATCGATCGATACCATTGGCGTGCACTTGACACTGTCAATCAGTACCGCCGAACTACTAGTGTATTCATATCCATTGTGCCATGTGAGCAGCAGTGTTCTTCATTTAGATCAATAGATGTTCTTTGATAATCAGTTACCTCGACCTGGTACATCCTGGACCGATACTGGGGCTTTGCGGTTACCTTGATTCTGATTGCACGCCTTTTTTCATCCACCTCTGTGCTGTTGGCCGACTGTGCTACAACATTCATTCAACTGATGGATTGTGATTGGAGCATCAATGAACCTACTAGTTTGTTTGTTGCACCTTTCTCTCGTAGTCATATTAAAAAATATCCGTGTATTCTGCAGTGTCTGGACCGCGTTTCGTATGATTGTGTATGCGTTTATATATTAACTTCTTCGCGGCGTCACGCACGATATATGCTACCCAATGGATTGTTTATTTCTCATCTTCTCTGTACCTGCACATTTAATTTCATCCTGATAACTTATTACGGGTCAGTACCAGTTCTGTATGATCGTCCATCATCATCGTCCAGCACTCTTGCGGCTTGTTACTAACAGTAGTTTTACGTTTGGTCGTACATCCGTTGTCAGCGCAGCCGACTGTTTTGGCACATGGCAATGTTATCTTTTCATCTGCTTTTCGTGTGTTGCTGCGGAGCTTTTGTTCTTTCTCTACTTATGGGTGGTGCGCCTAATTTCTTCATCAGTTTACTCACCCGGCGCTCATTTCTTCACCACTATTCCAGTAATTCATATGTTTGCTCCGCGCATCGAAAGAATCTAATCTGCTTGTGTAGACCGCGTTACATTATCTCGGTGATGGACAGGTTGTGTGACAGTGCGCCCATTGTGTTATATTGGGCAAAGGTATTCTGAGTGGTATTTCAAATATTTCAGCTTATCGCGCTTACAGGGGACCATCATCTTCCGCTCGTGGACTCTGCATCAGTGGTTTCTAAGCTCACTGTCTAATAATACATCCATTGACAACCCAGTTGGATATTTGCCAAACTGCATAGGCTATGCCGATATCATCGTGCGTTTTGTATACCCCGGACGATGTGTTTCGTTCAGCTACGGCACTCTTATTCGTGTCAACTAATGCCACGAAGATTTATCAAATAAGGAGTCGGACTAAATCCCAATTCGCACTACATCTTTCACTTTTCTTCTACGATCTCGCGCTCTATGCTTTCGATGGCCAACAATTGCGTCATTCCATTTTCATTTTTTTTTCTCTATTCAGCCTAGGTTACTATTCCCCTATCTACACTCGTTTCATCGATTCATGCTTATTCTTAGTTTCTTTCTCAACCTAATGTCATATAACGCATCCCCTTTCGGGTCATTTAGACGTCCCTGAAGTGGCGAATCTAGAGTATTTAAGTCGTATATTTTTCGTCTTTCCGAGAAACCGTATCCACGTATCACATCTCCGTCAACAGCTTACTCATGCAAGAATGTCTTGGGTTGGGGCAGATATGAGGATACCGATGAAGCGCTTTTTGTATCAAGTTTCTTTCGCTGTTCTTTTTCATGTCTTGTCTAATCCCCAGGCGCACTGGTTGAGCCATTGCGATGTATTTCCGGTGACCATACTGGTGGTGAGCTCATGAGAGGGAATGAAATTGGTAGCATCAACCAAATGGAAGAGGTTAACGCAAGCACGGATTCTAATTGTGATGGAAAATAAAAATCAAAGTTTTCACACAAACTATCTGTCCTCTATAAGACCAGTAGCAGGATTGGGAAGGTAAATGTTCAATTCAGAACTGATTTCCGCCTGTAATTCTCTGTGGACCATACATCTCTTGACTAGAATGACCTAGCAGGTTGAGAAAGTGTGTGCAGATCACAGTGAGATGTGAAGCACACTACACTACCTGAAGTCACCTTCCCGACCCGCATTTAAAATGAGTTAGGAATGGGTTTATCGAGAGCCCTGAGAAAGAATCAGTGGTTTGATGAGCGTTAAGGAGTTCCGTAATCCTTGTTCGTAAGATACTTCTTCGGAGTGCATCAAATCATGCCGTAACAAATTTAAAAGGAGGTTGAATGTAGTGTCCTATCAGAATGAACAGATTGATTAAGGCAGCATGCCAGACAGCCAGTGGGAAATGAATATGACGCTAATTGACCGATGTTCATGTGCTTTACAGTAAGTCCCTCATCGTTTGTTTAACTGTGTTAAGAGAGAAACTTCACCAGCCCATAATGTTGTTGTTTGTGGTTGGTCACGGAAAATGCGAATCGAGACGCTTTTCATGCCAGACTTGCTGCAATTTTCGCGGAGTTGACTTTGCCGAATAAACGCTTTTCTCTAAAGGACTTACTTTTGAGACAGAGCACTTGAATGAAGAGACCAGACGGATTCGCCTGACATTTCCGTTTTTTAACCCAATCGTAAGTGGTATGATCGACAAGAAGATGAAGCAACGCTGGAATGGGGAGAAGCTAGAGAGCTACAGTTAGGTTTTCTTTTCAGAACCCACTTGAAGATGGGAACTGTTAGCTTGGCATGGGCGAAGGCAAGATACATTAATGCTGGTGTGCAATAAAGTTTTGCGGCTTCAGTGCAATTTTTCTTACACGTTCTCCTATGTTCGGCTCTCTTACAGATGGTTTTCCTCACTTATGACGCTCTTCGTTAGATGCCAAAAACTGACCTAACTGCAACAGTTCAAAGGAAGATTCTTTAAAGCCGCGCTCAGTCGGTTGACTACCATCACACTAACCATCTGGCTACCTACCACATTCCACACATCAGCTGACTGTGATTCTTCAGCGACTTTGGTGACCGTGACTTTAAATTGATTACTGTTCCCTATTGATTCTGATATCGATCCCTCCCTGTTCAGGTGTAGTTTGGACAGCATTTCCTCAATATTTGACTGTTTTCGCTTTGTAAACTCGGTGAAACAGACAATGTTTGATCATCCGGACGGATACAACGCGTTCGTGCTACTTCATATATTTAGGAAACACTATATCACTGGGAGTTGTGACGTTTCCCTGATCGATGTCAACCTGTTACTCTGATTATTGGTAAGTAGTTACGGTCTGACCAGTGTTCTCGCCGCTCTTTAGTCCGGACTTTGTTCCATAGAGACCATATGATTTGCACTGCAGATAGATTGAAAACGAAAAAAGAAGTGTATGATGTGGTATACTCCAGTTGCAGTTTGTAAAGTGCTTCAGTGGCACGATAGAACTAGATCGAAGTACAGAGGTTCAAAAAAAGCCGGTCTTCATTGAGTTACTATTTAAACGTCACCACATCATGAAACGAACCACGAAACTGGTGAGCACTTCAATGAGAACGGTATACGTTGCAACATAGCTACGCATGCTCGTGTTCTCAAAATCACCGCTTAAGTGTCGAATGAAAACACCGGTGTCGAAGCAGTGCACGCCCCATTGTTTATACGAGTTCACATGTAACTAGAACAGCCATGTGTGCGCTGATTAACACCAAGGTCTCCTAATCGCGAGTACATACCGAAGTGGCTTCACAAACTGATAGGACAGGTGACAGTTGCAACTGGTGCATCGAGACGCAAGGTCGCCTCAGCAATTCCGAAGCATTTGCTGAACTTTAGTGACCAAGTAAACTGTGCTCAGGCGCAATCTCCAACCTCACATTCCATAGCTCTTGGAGACTATCGATCAACAGCGCCCACCAATCTGTCCAAAAAGCTTAGTGGCACTAGGCCTACCGTAGTAGCGTGTAACACACTAATTGAAACTGTTGGCCACCAACTGATTTCATGTAACCTGGTTTTAAATCCTTGTCAGTTTCGTGTGTGTGACCGAAGAATATCCGCGAGATGACGGCGTCATCACACAATCTGCGTCATTCGAGATTATAGAGGGAATTTCATGTTTCAAAAGTATCACGAACTTCCTGTGCATAAACTGCGTGCTGGGTTACTGAGACGTACTACGAGCGTGTTTACTTGACTCCCGATTTGTTTATTATCTCCCTTGCGCGTGCACATAGTTATTTTCACTCGTCTCCTTCGAACGGAAGATGTTATTGTTTCATCGGTCGTTTTGTTATGGTGCGGAACCGCCGCCAATCGTTGCCGGCTTTTGTTCTACACAACGGGAGTGAACGAACTGGTCGATCTGCCTGTGCCTACTATCGTACATTCCGTTACACTTTTCCTCTGTCCGGATTTCGAATTTATCATTGTACCAGTCCCATTGTAATTTCTGGTAACTGTCGGATGTTCTGTGCGAATTTGCTGGTTACGTTTGATACGTCCCAGCTTCACTCCGTCCGCTCACTTTTTATTCATAAGCCTTAAATCGGTGCGCGTAGGTGGTTGTTGCTCCTGTAGCTATAATTTACCCGTTCGGTTTTTACAACTCTTCTGCAGATTCTGCGCCGAGCGTCTTCGTTCGTTGGTAAACGTGTTGGAGTTATCGGATTATGCAGACTTCTCGGATTTGTCTCTTTTGTGCAACTTCGCCACCTTGGTCGCCACCTACACTCGCGGTAAGTGCTTGTAGCTTTTACCGATTGCCGTTAGCTGACTGATTTGACCAACGAAAGATACTGGCCCAATTTTCAGCATGGTTATGGTGTCGGGTCATTCGTTTATTCTTCATTTGATCGCCCACGTATATACACAGAAGTGGCTAGATCCAGCCTCTCAAAAGCGTGGATCGCATAGCCATTACTGAGGGTTCTTCACAGCACATTCCAAATCACATAGTCCTCCACACACCCTGAAAAGCACCAGACGGCCGTTCCTTCATACTGGGATTCGTTGGTGGTGCGCATTCCTCGGCTACATCAGGATCCGAACCCATGACCCCTAACGGCTTGCGCCACTAGCCCGCAGCCTGTACTAATAAGTATTGGGGGACGGCGTCAGACTATTATGACTGCAATACTGCGGAATCCATTATCCACTCTCCTCTGCTAGAGTAGTGACAAGCATGGCAATAGAGGATAGGTCACACTATATCGCAGTCCGCTTGTAACTTATAACGCTCTGTCACCATCCCCCATGGCTTAGTGGCATTGGCTGCTGGCTAGTGGTAATGGACTTGGCTCTTGATGAAGACGGGAGATTCGCATCACTTAAGAGACCAATAGGACGAACGGCCGGATTGATGGTAGTCTGTCTGGCTTGCACGCTACTGCAATAAGCGGGGTGGAATTAGTGTAGATTAGTCTGACTTCCACTCACTCCCCCACCGCAGAGTTCATTGACTACACTTCTTTGTTCACCAAGTATTTGAACACCATCAGATGTATGTATAGCCTATCATGATATTCCTTGTTTATTTGATGACTGTCTCCTTTTCAGTGAATGGTACGTGTTAATAGCGGTGTCTATTTTTAAATAATGTATAAGTATTCCAAAATCTATACACGATCGCCTGTGCATTGACCATTCTAGCTGTGACTGTCTTGTGATTACAGATTGAATGTCTCACACTTGTCTTGCCTCTTATTCTCTTCGATCGTGAATGCTTTTTACGCGGTCTCAGTTTGAGTATGATGGTGTGGTCGTTTGCCTGTTTCCGTCATCCACTGAGCTGCTCTAAGCGGCACTTTTCTAGTACCCTCAAAACCACTCATTCTGGACAAGTCAATGGTTGTGAGTCAGACAAACTCAACTTGCCACGATCTTTATCCGATTTGGGAGCGAACTTAGGGTGACACCAGTGTTTGGCTTGCAAACTAGGCTTGATTGGCATGGAACGCCAGTGGCTCTATCGTCAACTCGCAGCCCTAATCTCTATGGCCGAGAATACAGCTATCGTTTTCGTAGCTAATGCCATAATTGCTCGACAGAGCCACCCGTCAACTCCGAACAACGCTTCCCTGGCGGACAATGGCGATCTGCTTTCGAACTTTACCATCTATTATCTTGATAGTAGCACCACACCCGTTTCCACTGCCTTACCGGTTGACTGTTAAGCGGAACTTTGCTGTCGCTCGCGCCCTCAAAGCGCTGGATTTAATTGTTTTCCAGCTTAATTGCAAGGTCTACTGACTCAAACAACTGTTCCGTTTTCTGCTCAGATATTCTTTACAGTGGTAGTACCCTTCGGTTGCAGCCTCGAATCGTTCCGAATTTTGAGTCGGCACTGTTTTCACTCACATTCCAGTCCCATATTGCACTTCTCTAGCAATATGTGAGAAACTTCTCCCGAGTTCAGTCGGGACGCTTCAACTGTCCTTAAATAAATAGAGTTACAGGAGCGCGCTTCTATTCTTGTTGACTCTGTATTATTTCTTGAAAGCTCCTGTGTTTCTTTTTGTGAGTTGTTGTACGCGGATTGCACCTTGGCCGATCGACAGCAACGAGAAAAATGCTTCCTTTTCTGGGTTTTCATACAAGCTGCTCCTAGCTAGGTATATCTCCTTTCATGTTAGATGCATATGACTTCAAAATTGTCAACGGGGTACCTTTCCCCCTATGGTTGAGGCAAACATTCTTTGCTTCTGGCTTCCGCCTAGACTTGTGTCATTGTCTCCTGTTGAATTTACCGCTGTGACAAACATCGAATACCGAAGGCGTCGAATCCATCGCAATGAGGCTGGACCTTACCGTGGTGCGATGGTTTGTGTGCCTCAGTGATCCATTGAGCTATACTGGGTGGTGCTTTTGCGCCTTCAGAGCCACTCATACCAGATTGATCAATGGTTAGAGACCAGACAAACTCAGCCTCCTGGTCCTCCAGGTTGGGGGTTGGAATGAGGGTGGCTCCTTATTCCTTAAAACGGACTCCTTGTAGTCCAGTGCCAAACCCGCTGCCTTGCGGCCAGGTTTTTGAACCAAAGGCTTTGGTTGAGAACCCTAATCGTTCTCCTGTCTAGGCCTGGGCAACCTGACAGTATCCTGCCCACGCAATACAATGAATCCTTCCCCAAACAAATTTCTGATGCTCTGGCCACCGCAGAGGATAATCAACGGTGCCCTATCTGCTGCATCGAGCAGGGTGGATAGGGGTTTGGATGCTACTGCTCAGGCGTTCCCATCTTCTTATTCCCCTTCTTGTGCTTTTTCACCCTTATCGTCTCGTTCCAGCTTTACTTTTATCCCCCCTGTTTTCAACCCCCCAATTCTCGGCCCTCCCCCACCTTGCTTCAATAGTCGCTTGTCTTTTAGTTTCAACTCACAGGTGAACGCAGAGCGTCATTCCTGCACTGTCAACAGGCCCATGTCCAAGCAAGCGGCCCATTCCAGTTCATCGGCATCCATTTGGAGCCCTCGATCCTCCTTCAGACTGGCATGCCTCAATGTTCGCACATTGCTTCAGATTGGTCAACAGGCAGCACTTGCCCGAACATTAGAGACCCTCTCGATCGATATCTGTTGCTTATCGGAGACCCGCCTGCAAGACTCGAGCTCTGTACTCACTCTGCGATCCCCTTCAGGTGACACTAGCAGCACTTTCTCATTGCGCCTATCCGGTGACGATGCAGCTTCGAGCACCGGCCAAGCCGCTGTTGGTATTGCCCTGAGTCCCCGGGCTGAAACTGCTCTGGTTGATTGGATTCCAATCAGTAGCCGGATGTGTGCGGTCCGATTGGCTGGCTCGTTCAAAACTTCGAAGTCGCGCGGGACTAACAGGTGTCTATTCGTTATCGCTGCCTATGCACCGACAAACTGTAGCGATGACTCGGTAAAAGACGACTTCTATCGCCAACTGAACGAACTCCTTCGCCACAGAAGAAGCTCGGACACTGTAGTGCTGGCTGGGGATCTGAACGCTTAAGTTGGAAAATTATCCGCAGATGAGCTGCATCTGGGCGGCCAACATGGTATAGGCTCCCGTAATGATAACGGTGGGCGGTTACTTCATTTGTGTGAAGATGCTCGCTTATTTCTTGCGAGCACTAATTTCCGACACAGCACCCGCCGGAGGGTGACTTGGCGCCCACCAGCCTCGAACCAGCTATGGACGCAAATCGATCACATTGCGATAAGTTACCGCTGGAGAGGCTGCGTCCAGAACTGTCGCTCGATATGGAGCACAGGTGTTGACAACGATCATGCACTTGTATGTGCTGACCTGCTGATGCGCTTTGGCGGACGCCCACGACGATGTTGTGAGCGCATTGACACCGGCAGACTGGTGAATCCAACTGTTCTGAACGCCTATCAAATTACGCTGTCATCCGAGTTGGATAAACGCTCACTGGTCTCATATGCAACAGGCCTTACTAGCAGCAGGCAAATCCTCATGTGGTATGTCTAATCGCCAACATGAACATTGGGTCTCTTCACAGTCTTTGGAACTTATAGATGCTCGCCGGCATATTCCGGCTGGAAGCGAACACAATGAAACTCGCAAAGAGCTCCGGGCAAAACTCCGTGCTAGCCTGAAGAGAGACCGCGAATCCTGGTGGTCTCGTCGTGCAACAGAGATGGAAATGGCCGCTGCCATTGGTAACCATCGTGAGTTATTCCGTCTTATACGGGAAACGGGCAGCAGGAGACCTGGTGTTAGTGAAACTATACGTGACGAGAGTGGACAGCCTATCCACAACTTATCAAAACGCCTGGAACGTTGGGCTGAGCACTTTGAAAGGCAATTTAATCGGTCGGAATTGTTAGATTTCTGGCCGACCAGTGATCGCCCTGCTCCGTGGGCTGTTCCTTTGGATCCACCCTCTCGCTCAGAAGTCGAACATGAGATCAAACTGTTGAAGTTAATAAAGCCGCGGGACCTGATGACCTTCCTCCAGCCCTTTTCAAATTCGGGGGACCTGCTCTTGTGGATGATTTACACGAGTTACTAGTGAGACTGTGGGAGCAGGAAACTGTCCCAACCGATTGGAGCCGTTCCATCATAGTCCCAATTTTCAAAGGAGGTTCACGATCGGAATGCGGCAGCCATAGAGGAATCAGTCTGATCTCCATCGCCTCCAAATTGCTTGCCTCTGTCATCCTTCACAGACTGACTGGCACTCGTGAAAGCCAGATTCGTGAAGAGCAAGCTGGATTTCATCGAGGTCGTAGCTGCATTGACCACATCTTCACTTTGCGTCAGTTGTTGGAGCACCGTCACATATATTGGCGGCCCACCGTTGTCGTGTTCCTCGATATCAAAGGTGCATTCGATTCGGTGGATAGACATGCACTTTGGACTGTCTACTCAGGAAAGGTGTACCTGAGAAATATGTGAATATTATCCGAGCATTATACGCGCGTAGCTCGGGCAGAGTGAGGGCTTACGGCAAGTTGTCGTCGCCCTTTAATATCTCCAGCGGTGTGAGACAAGGATGCCCGCTGTCAACCTTCCTCTTCAACTTCGCTGTTGACGAAGTCATGGAAATCGCGTTCACAGGACACGACTTGGAAGGTGTGGAGCTGCTCCCAGGAGAATGGCTTCTTGATTTAGAGTATGCTGATGATATTACCCTCATCTGTGACAGCTCACAAAAGTGCCAAGCGGCACTGGACAGATTAGCACTAGCTGTCCGTCACTTCGGGCTTTGCTTCGCACCCTCGAAGTGCAAAGCGTTTCTCC